ATCCAAGATGTGGGTGACTTTGTTTCTTCAGTAGAACACATTTGATGGTTTTTAACTCCAACCGTTGCAGTCTGTCAGTCTTATAATGCATGGCAATGGTAACAAAATCTATGAGAGTAAAAAAAACATGCACAGACAAATCCAAATTAAACCCTGCGGCTCGTGACGACACATTGATGTCCTAAGACACGAAACGATCGGTTTGTGCCAGAAACCGAACAGTATTTATATCATTTTTTACCTCTAATACACCACTATGTCCAACTGTCTTTGAGCGCGCGCAGGGCATCCGATGCGTGAGGTGTGTACGCGCTCTGGCATAAGCAGATAAACATCACATTTTCATTTTTGGGTGAACTATCCCTTTAACTACAACTTTTATATGTCATTTCATAATTAATTTCATAGATATACCTGATGAAGGTCATAGGACAAAAACGTTGTTAATAAAGAATTGTATATATGTGCAAGCATTGATAGTGTGTGGGACTTTTGAGTATGTTTTGTATTTGGCCTTGGTTTGGTCTGTTTTCCTACGCACCTGTCTATTACTTTCAGGTGTGCGAGGTTAATTGTTAATTGATAATTACTTCTTGTCATTGAAATATGGTTAAAGTGTACTACTGAAATGTACTGGCAAGCATTTATGGTAAACTAAAATATACTTTAACCTCATTTGTATTGAAACATGTCAGTCATGTATTTAAATATATTTGCAATTGCACATTTGTATGATGAAGTTGCAATTTAGTAAATAAAACTTAATATTTAACATTGATAACTAAATGTCATATTGAATAACACTACTGTTAAATTTAAAATCAAGTGCTTTAGTAAGTTAGGCAACAAATCAAAGTGTACTTATTAAAGCATGACACGATTATTAAAACATAATGATTTAAAAGTAACTTTAAAGATTAGGCATTATTGCTAAGTGCACTTTTTAAAAGTGTATCCAAGAAGCACAGTCATGAAAATGTACTTGAAGATTTGTTAATATTTCATTAATATTACAGTATTTTTTATGCGCTTTTAAGATTTGAAGTACACTACTACAAGTGCACATTCAGTACAATTAAACACACTTTTTCACGTGGGATCTATGCTATCTGCAAGCTTGATTTCACACATTGTTGTGTTCCACAGTGTGTCAGTACACACATTCTTAGTGCTTGTTACTGCAGGTCGATGTCTGTCTTTATGATTCGTTTTCTCTTTGTCTATTTTCATGGCAGAGCAGAATACTTAAAGTTATTTAAACTGTCAACATGTTTATAGCTACCTACCTTTAATGGCTCAAACATTTGAAGGAAACTGTATCACTCCCTTGAGTACTGAGGTTTATTACCGCCACATTAGAGAAAGAACACACATTAAGTATATACAACAGACACTGTGCTTGTAATGCATCTTATGTGTGAGAGAAAAAACAAACACTAACTGCAGTGAATAGTAGCAGTAGCGTGTTGTGTTTGTGCGCATCTGTTTTTGACATCTTTATGTGTTTCTTTACACCGACAGGCTGAAGGCGAGGACAGTCTGAAGAAGATGCAACTGATGGAACTGGCCATTCTTAACGGCACCTACAGAGACGCCAATATCAAATCACGTAAGCCGCCACCTCCTCTCAAGCAAACAGAGACAGTATTGTTGGAGGCCTTTGTAGCCGCAGCTCTCAGTAATCCTTTCTCAAGTAACCCTGATTCCCTGATGAATGCTCTGACATGTGTATCAGTATTGTGATCCAGAATTAGCACATACATCCAAAGAGCAGCTAATGAGCTGAAAGAATAGAGAACATGCACTGCTATCTGTGAAAACAATGCTTCCTTAATTGACCGAATGTTGTGACATCCTCCTCTTCGCTTTGCTGCTTCAGTAAATAATACTGAAGCGCTGTGGAACTGCAGGAGTGTGTTGTTTGAATGCACTGGCTCCTCCCCTGCCTTGTTTACTAATGAATAGCTAAATAGCATCGCTGTCATGCTCTGTGTCCAGTGTTTGCCTTTGCATGGTACTAACGGTTTTTGTGTTTTTTTGTCCTGACCCCACCCGTCTTCATTCACCCCTACCCTCACATTTTTCCGCTCACCGCAGCTTCCCTTGCATTCTCTCTTGCAGCGAGCGCCCAGGCACCACGGATCATCACCGGCCCAGCACCTGTCCTGCCGCCCACAGTCTTGCGCACGCCTACGGCCGCAGGGCACACCATCATGCCCCTCATCCGCCAGATCCAGACCGTCATGCCCAACGGCTCGGCCCACCCAGCAGCTGCCACCCTAGTGCAGCCTGGTCCGGAGTCGGGCCTGATTTACGCGACGCCCTATGAGTACCCCTACACACTGGCCCCCGCCACCTCCATTCTGGAGTATCCTATCGACTCCAGCGGGGTTTTAGGTAAGCATAGCTACACCTGTCTCACTACACAGACCCCCCCAGGTCCCAGAACCTCCTTCAGCATGGGCTGTGGACTCTCATGCCTTACATGGCTGTACACTAGGGTTGGGAGGTATGACCATTCATGCCATGTGACATTTTGTAAATGTATCTGTTTTACCTTATTTACATGTGCTATACAGAAATATGAGGTAAAAATACAAAACCTAAAACGGAAGTTGCACTATTTGAAGCAAGTTTGATTGTTTATGGTTGCCGATCAACATCTCAACCTAGCGAAACTCATACATGGTCAGACTCTGGGGTCTGTACTATCCATTTTATAATATTGCTTTTAAAATTTCAGTGTATTTTTAAATGTTTTGTGCTAGGCTCATATATGATTAATCTGGGGCTGGAATCACAAAAATCTTTTAAAAAGTTACAATTACTTAGGATAAATTGTAAGAAGGTTGTAAGAATATTGAACATTTATAATTACACTGTTGATCCATCCCTTACAACATAACCCACCCTAAAAACATACCCATGCCACCAAACCTGTCCCTGACCTTACCCGTATCCCACCTCATAGCAGCTAAAGTGTTTTGGGTTACACTTCATTTTAATGTGTCCTTATTACAGTGTAATTATACATTTAAGTACTAAGTAATATTAATTAACTACATGTACTTACTATATGGTTAGGGTTAGGATTAGGATTAGGGTTTGG